GGCTTCATAACGTCTTGGGCTTCATAACGTCTCGGGCTTCATAACCCCTGGCAACCCAGTTACGACTGCCTGCCGGGTTATGAGTGGTACCAGTTTATGATGGTCTGCCTGTTTATGACTGGTGCCGGTTTATGATGGTTTGCTGGTTTATGATGGTCTGCCGGTTTATGATAGTCTGCCGGTTTATGATTGTCTGCTGAGTTATCATCTAACTTAACTCCTGTCGGGTTATCATCTGACTTAATTCCTGCCGGGTTATCAACTGACTTAACTCCTGGCGGGTTATCAACCTGCCGGTTTACCGTCTGAGTTAACTGGCTGTCTTAACTATTTGTCTTAACTGTCAGCCGGTTTACCAAGTCCCAGCCGGGTTATAACTCCGGCCGGATCATACCGCGGGGTATATCCCCGACACCTTTCTAAATGGCGAGTTTCGTGAGGAGGTTTATAGGCAGCCACCATCGGGGTACTATGATCCTGATGGTATGGTCTGTAGACTTTGCCGCTTCCTCTATGGTCTTAAACAGGCCCCTCGTGCCTGGTTTGAGCGCTTCGCCTCTGTGGTGACTGTCACTGGTTTCTTGCCCAGTGATCATTATCCCGCGTTGTTTGTTCACACGTCTCCTCGTGGTCGGACTCTACTCCTTCTCTATGTTGATGACATTATCATCACTGGTGACGACTCTGACTACATTGCCTTTGTTAAGGCTCGCCTTCGCGAGCAGTTCCTCATGATTGATCTTGGTCCACTTTGCTACTTTCTTGGGCTTGAGATCTCCTCGACCTTTGATGGCTTCTACATCTCCCAAGAAAAATATATTCAGGATCTTCTTGCTCGCGTTGCGCTCGGTGATGAGCGCACAGTTATGACTCCTATGGAGCTCAATATTCAGCTTTGTACCTTTGATGGTGACCCCCTTCCTAATCCCACTCGCTATCCTGGTGTTACGCGTCCTGACATCTCTTATCATGTCCACATCCTGATTCAGTTTGTTTCAGCCCCCACCTCTGTCCACTACAGTCACCTCCTCCGTGTTCTACGATATCTTTGTGGCACGATCTCTCAGCACCTTTTCTTTCCACGCTCCAGCTCTCTTAAGCTCCAGGCCTACTCTGTTGCTACCTGGGCTAGTGATCCCTCTGACCGATGCTCGCTGTCTGCTTACTGTGTCTTTCTTGGTGACTCTCTGATTGCCTGGAAGACAAAGAAACAGACTGCAGTTTCTCGCTCGAGTACAGAGGCTGAGTTGCGAGCCATGGCTATGTTGACGGCTGAGGTGATCTGGTTACGGTGGTTACTTGAGGATTTTGGTGTGTCTGCTACTACCTCGACTCCCTTACTATCAGACAGTACTGGTGCTATCAGTATTGCGCGTGACCCGGTGAAACATGAGCTCACCAAGGACATCGGTGTGGATGCCCACTTTGTGTTTGCTGCTGTGCAGGATCAGACTCTTGCTCTCCACTATGTGCCCTCTGAGTTACAGTTGGCGGACTTCTTCACAAAGGCACAGACTCGAGCGCAACATAGTTTTCTTCTCTCCAAACTCAGTGTTGTTGATCCACCATGAGTTTGAGGGGGGTGTTAGATGTGTATAGCCCCTTTTCGGTTTATCCCCATTGTTTAAGGGGTTTCTTGCACTTTAACACACATGTATATGTAATGGCCTTTGGCCCTCAGTGAATACAAGTTTCTCATTATCCAACAATTACCTCTGCTTTGTTTTGCAGTTCTAGGATGCATACATGGCACTAAGGACCACGGTCTGGCAGTGCAAAATTGATGCAGCGAGAGGGCCGGTTAAATGAGTAATGTAACTGCTTTCATGCAATTCAGGATTTCACTGGTGCTTAAGGTGTTTGTATGGTGTCCTACAACATGGTTATATGTATTGCTTGTATTTTAGGTTCAGTTTGATGTGACAAATTCTTCTAACCTTCCTTTTTGCCTAAAATTTCTGCTAGAGTTTGTTGCAGCGAAATTGTGGTGAGCTGCACTTCTTAGTTTTGTAAGTGTGCAAAGTTTAGAAGGTCAGAAAGCTTGGTCATGTATGGAAATTGTACGGTTCTGAACTGAAAATTTAAGGAGCTTTTCCACCGATGGTGTCCCTTCCATTTCTCTTGGGTATTAATTTATGCACAACACAACTAGCTCTTCCGTGCTGGATGATAAACAAAGCTTGCATGTCGCATATTTGCTTGATTTGCATGAGCCATTTTGTTGTCAGCTAAATCATTCAAGTGAACTGTAAGGTCATGTTTCTGATGTTTGGTGCATTTTACCCTCTTATGCATGTTTGACATGAAAAGGAGCTTGACGTGATGACCTTCTAAATTAGTAAATTTGCATAGGGAAGGAAGAACATATTCTTATTATGTGCCAGTTATTGTAATTTTGTCAAAATATGATGTATCTGGAAGAGGGGTATCATTGTTAGTTGAGCAATTTCATATACCGTATAGTAGATGTTAATATCCATGAATTGGATCTTATATTCTTTTTGCTGAAATGAATAATTATATTTGATCTCCATAGGTTCATCTTTGTTCCAATCCAGGGGCACAACAGGTACAGTTTTCAGTTCCTCATGTGCATGCTATTTTCCAGTGTTGTTTGTTCAATTGCTTCCAAATTCCAGTATTGTATATCATTTTTTCTGTATAAAGGAGATGTGGCTTGATCACCTTGTGAGAGGTATCGAATAGAGCAAAAGATTTATATGTAGTATGCTCTTTTGCATATGCATTATTGACATGTACATTTATTGTACAAGATTGTACTTCTATTTTGTATATTTGCCTTGCACGTAGGTTATGCCTTCCCAAGCACAAGGAAATTTGAAATACCCAGAAATTAATTGAAGATCAAATTGTTGCCTGAACAACATAGTGTTCCACTGGAACAGTAATGAAATTAACCTTACATTCAATCGTGCTTCGAAATGTGAATATTTCTGTTTGTTCATGTTCAAAGAACCATGCACACTCGTTGTTGTGGGTTTCATTCTATTTTCGTTAAAAGTGTGCGTCTGCTGAGCTAAGCCTTTTTTGAAATTTTGGTGCATGCATGTTGTGTTAATCTTAAGATTTGCTGATGTTTGTTCGCATGGCATCATTCTAGTTGGTATTTCTTTAGTAGGGATTGTTGCTTTGATCTTTCCGCCAAAGTTTTTTTTGCAGAAGTACAGAAAGCCTTAGGTACTTAGCATGAAGTTAGTATACTTTTGTCACCTTCAAGACATTGTTCCTAAAAAAGAGGGATCCCATCCCATCATTCAGTCAATCTTGCTTTTCTGATCAGGAACTGTGTGGAAAACCCCCCATGGTATAATTTTATATTAAATAAAAGACAACCCAGGAGGTTAAAAAAGTTACATAGATGCACAAAAAGAAGAGGACCCCTAGAAATAACAAGTGTCACACCAAGATTTGAATTGTTGTTTCTTGGAGTTCTTAACACAGTGGAAGATGAGCATCAGATCAGATAAGAAGCCAGCCTTCCAACTTGAAAATCTTGGTCTCTTTTCTTGGAAGATTAGCACATTTCTCTCTTTCCATATATTCAAAGAACATCAGACCATAAAGCAGGGCCCAAGGAAGGCATCCTTTGTTTTGTTAAAAGTGTGTGCAATTGAATCAGAGGATACCCAAGTGATCTTAGCAAAATTCTAGCAGGGAGCAACAAAAGGACATTGAAAAAACAAACGTCTCTTGTTTCCAGAGTGTTTGAAGCAGAGTACACAATTAGGTCCAGACTCCAAATGCCGATGTCTTCTCGACATTATGTCCCTAGTATTTAGGTGATCCATCGACAACAGCATGCAAACACTTTTTACTTGCTCAAACACTTGCTCTTCCAAAGCTATGGAAAAATAGCATCCACCTCTCGTCCTCCACATAAGAATTTATAATAGCTAGCAGGGGAATATCTGCCTGAGTTTAATACACAAGGCCAAAGATCATGTTCATTCAAGAACTTCCAATCTGCAGGGATGGCGACAAGTAAATTAGACAGAACTGTCCTCATAAGATTGTTCTAAGGAAGGAAGAATAGTGTGGTGATGTCAGCAGACTGGATGTCCTTGCTCAGAGAGATCTCAGGGTCTAGAGCAAAAGAGAGCTGTCTGGGGAAGAAGTTAGCCAAAATACCCTAAGGGGAAGCAGAGGTACTAGTTTTAGAAATGCATTTGGATACCGCTTTCGCATCATTCTTTTGTTAGCAACATGTGCAGGAAGGTAGGACAGTTGACTGCTCAAGAGAGGATCCCATGCCTCCATCAATTGGATGTTGAAGCTCTTCAAGAAAGCTAGAGACACAGGGTATAAGTACCATGATTTTTTTCACTTCTGTTGCTTCCATTTTAGCATTTAATTCTTTAGCTAAAGTGAAGTGATAATTAAGCAGCTCCGGGTTAAATAGTAATACATAACAAGTACCCCTCTATCATTTCACATCATGTATGTCAATTAAACTTTGATCACCTGATGTACACAAGAATATAATAATCCTTTTGAAACTATAATCGATGATATCCACACAAATATTATGATCTTAGTTCCTAACATATTTTCACCAAAGTAGATTCATGTGTCTTCTTAATAAATTTTAAGGGGAAGACAGAGTAAATGGTGGTGCGACATGAAAATTGAATATGGTTGACTGGGGAGGCCCATAAGCAGTGGCCTGAACTCATTCTTTCATGCATGTTCTTTCTTTCTTTCTGGACAGTTTTAATCTTATTGCAATAGTTTCCACTCGAGAAAAATACAAGTACATTACTTTTGCAAATCAGTAATGCTAAGAAATCACCACTGACATGCTTTTCGAAAGGCAAGAACAAATCCAAACACACCATGCAGAAGTATTCAAAATCAAACAATGTAATGGAAAGAAGCAAGCCACCACACCAAAAAGCATTAAGGGATGGGATGAAGCAGCGCACAACATAGAAGCATGCCAAGCTATCCCTGAAAATGGGCGCGCACAAGACACCAACGCTCTACGGTTCAAATGAACCATGTGCTGCCTCCCTGGGTGCAAGGGCTAGCCTGGTTATGCCAGTATGTGTGCACAGTGCCCATAGCACGGTGATGAACTCGCCGCCATGCGCGAGTGACTCCTTGTGGGCCTTCACGTGCAACTCGCCGCCCGACGGTGCAATGTACACCATGAGCTCCGTCCATAGATCGGCCAGAAGCTCCCACACAAACTCACCCGTGTCATTTTCTTTGGCCTTCTCAATCAAAGCCTTACCCAACTTACCCCCCTTCTGCACCACCGTCACCGCCTGTTGCTGTGATTCGCCGATCTCCGTGAGCCTCTTGTACCTGGTTCCTCGCAGTGATAAGTGGTACCGCCAACAACCACCAAGCTCCTTCTTCAACTCCTTCTTCATGTCGTTGTAAGCATGCTCTGTCCCATCCTTGTCTTCAGGGAGCAGCTCTGGGGAAAAGCCCACCAAGTAAGCGCAGTACTTGGACAGTGTCGTTGCCACCTTACGATGATGCCCCATCTCTTTCTCCTTCTGCGGATACGTCATCTCCAAGAGGCCAGTGGCAATGTGACAGGTGAGGATGAACTCGGCGATGCTCTTGCTCTCACAAACCGACGAGAGCAAGGGTTGGTATGCCCTGTGCTTGTTCAACTGCAGTGTTGACCAACCACTATTGAGAGGGTCAGCGTGGCCATCAATGTCATAGTCATCCATGTGAGCCACCACGTATTCCACGATGGACTTCTTTACTTCCTTGGGCACTGCCTTGGTAGGCATTGTGAAGGAGGAAAGCGACGACAGTGGGCAGAACCCTAGCACGGAGAATTGCTTGAAGCAGAGGTTAGGGTGGCTTAGCTTACTTCGCGCCCATAGGATGCGGCGCATGAGCCCGCTTACGATGCTATTCTCACGCCAGGGGCGCTTAGCGGTGTACTCACAGAGTAGCGACACAATGAGCCAGTTGGATAGGATGAAGACGAGGAACTCCCAGACTTCCTCGTAGATGAAGGTGAGTATAAGCAGAGTGGTGGTGCCTAGGTCGACACTGGCGAATAGCACCTCCGGTGAATGGGTGATGCTTTTCAGGAGGCATTTGACCAGTGTTGGTGCACCGGTATAGATGATGTAGTTGTCACTCGTGATGCTATGGTAGGCATAGAGCACGTTCCCATTGCCACAGGCAATGAAAGTCAAGAAGCAGAAGGCCCAAACTACAATTGGAAACAAGATGTAGTTGGCTAGGAAGAAGAAAGGGTTGGAGAACACGACCGGTAGAACGGAGTGGTAGTACTCGCAGATGAATTGGATCTCGTCGTTGAAGACTTGGAGCAGTGCAACCTCCGCGTCTTGCTCCTCCTCATCCTTAGGCAGCTTCTCCTGGTACAAACCTTGGAAGATGAGGTCCCGACAATTGTGGGTCTCCTCGCTGGTGATGGGGATGTCCTCAAACCTACGGCGCAGCAGCTTGTAGAGAGCAAAGGAGAGGCAGAGCCTTCTGAGTCTTGGGTCTTTCTGGAGAAGACCGTCCTCCTCGCTAGCTACGAGCTTCCAAATGTCACCAACCGTGACAATGGTGGAGCCAGTGCCGGCGGTGTCTGCGGTAGTCGTCTTCTTCAGATCGACTTGGTAGCCATGGGGACCTGCTTCCTTCCCCAAGTTGTCTTCTCCCATCACGGTGTACTTGCACATCTTCAGCAGCTCCGACCCCAGCTCCTGGACATTCCCGGCCTGCCCTTGCTGTTGTTGCATGACCTGGGCCATGTACGAGTTTAGCAGCTGGGCGTTCCTGCCATAGGCGAAGGAACGCTTGAACAGCTCGTTGACGACGACCCGCTGCAGCAGCTTGGCAGCAGCAAGGACCCATAAGGTGCCGTAGATTGCCTTCTTGCCTGCGCTTTTGACGTTGTAGAAGACGAGGTAGCCCAGCCAAACGATGCGGGCAAAGCGATCGATGGTGCCTGAGTACACCTGCATGCCCACGTTCACCAGGATCACCTCCACCTTCTTGCGGAGGAGCTCCACAAGAAGCATCCACATCAGGATGGTCCTTGCTCGCAGCGACAGCTCGTCACCAAGCTGACCGTAACTGGAGCTATTGGTACTACTATTAGTAGCAATGGTGGCACCTTCGTTCTTGGTCTCGGAAAAGAGGTAGGACATGACTGGGAGGAAGAGGGAAAGCGAGGTAGAGAGGAAGAGACGGACGCTGGGGTTGAGGATGGCACTCACGTCGGAGAAGCGGCTGAAGAGGTTGAGGTTGAAGAAGAGCGCGGCAAGAATGAACATGAGAACAGAGGTGGCCACCATGGTGCCCTCATTTTTCTGGTTGGCGTAGGAGGAAGTCAGGTTATACGCATAAGGGTAGACTGTGTTGTTGCAGAATGAATCTAAGCCTTTCATCATCAGTCACATGAAGCTACTAGAGCTGGCTACTGAATTCCCTTGAATGTATTGAATTGGCATATCAAATATATACACAGACCATGAGGTGTGAACACGGAATTGCTTACCTGAGCGGATAAATTAAATGTACACAAAGTTAAAGCACCGACAATGGCATGATCATTTGGTCAGTAAAGCTTTGCTTTATGTTCTTTTACAAAGCCTAAATCAGAATCTCTCTAGCTTGAATTGCTTACCTGACCGGATAAACATAACCATTTGAACGTAACACGAAGTTACAGCACCGACAATGGCATGATTATTTCCTTCATAAAACTTTGCTTTAGCTTCTTTTACAAAGATTAAATCAGAATCTTTCTACCTCGAATTGCTTACCTGACCGGATAAACATAACCATTTGAACGTAATAATAAGTTACAGCACCGACAAGCGACAATG